CTTCCTCTTGGGAGCACGGACTTAGCTCCCAGTCCTTCTGAAACCAACCAAGAACCAGGGTGGGACCCAGGCCACCTGATTCCAGGTGAAGAAGACCTCCTCCATCTTACAAACCGACCTGCCCAATTCGCCAGGGAGGAGAACAATGTTGTGGCTAGGAGCTAACTCGCTAACTTGTAAACGCGCACAGGAGTTTTTCGAGTGTGTCCTCTTTGGGGAGATTCTGGGGACTCTAGTGGGGGCAGCTGTAGTCGAGAAAGCCACTGAAAAGAGATTCAGAGTTGGCTGGGCACAGTGGCTCATACCTGTAATCCCAGCACTTTGGGAGGCTGAGGCGGACAGATCACGAGGTCAGGTGTTCAAGACCATCCTGGCCAACATGGTGAAAGCCCATCTCTATTTAGAAATACAAAAATCAGCTGGATGTGGTGGTGTATGCCTGTAATCCCAGCTACTCAGGAGGCTGAGGCAGAAGAATCGTTTGAAACTGAGAGGCAGAGGTTTCAGTGAGGTGACATCCAAAAAAAAAAAAAAAAAAAAAAAAGGGAGAGAGAGAGATTCGGAGTTGCAGAGATCTCGACCATGCTCAGCTGGCGTGGCTGCCATCCTGTGTGCTTCACCTACAGAAAGCTGAACAACTGAACTGAACATGAAAAAGAATAACAAGAACAGGGCTTGGCATGGATGCAGATGGAGTGCAGTGAATTTTTGTTGAATGCATAAATGAATGAGACTGAACACCTAAAAAAGAAACGTGTTTCAAATGTACATACTATGATAAAGCTAACCCAACATCCAATGTGTGAAAACGGACTTCACTTAATATTTGCATTACTGCTATGAATAATAAATTAATGGTCTCATTAAAACACTTCTAAAAGTCTCCTGCTAGCAGCTAAGGTGTCCTCCACGCGCCTAGGCTTTGTCTGGCTCCGCATGGCAGAGGGGAAAGATCTTTGAGAGGAGGCCTGGGTTCCTCTGGCCTCTGCTATTCATGAGCAGGTCAGATAACCAAGCTTCGGCTCCCGTTATTATAGGAATCATCATCTGCCCTAAATACTCCACAGGTATATGGTAAGAACACAGATGTAAAGCACTTTCTAAACCATAAAGCGCAGCACTCATGGTTGATTTATAATGTGGTACTGGTGCCTCCCTCGCTCTTCCCACCTGGAATCTTCTCCAGGGAGGACAAATACAGGCCAACTCTTTCCTGTAGCTCAACAGCTTTGCTTTGCAGAGCCCTGCCCTCTACCCCTTCCAGCTCTGCATTTACTGTTGCCCAGCCATTCACATTGGTCACTTATTTACTGTTCACAGAGAGGCGGTTAAGTGCAGTGTTCAACGCTCAGGCAGAGGTGCACCGGAACCCCGCCCGTGGCACTTCCTACTTGGGGGACCCTGGGCAGGTCACCTTGACATCTCTAGGCTTATCTACAACATGGGGATGATGAGAATTCGTACAGACATGCTATGAAGAGCAAATCAGGTCTTTTGGGTAAAGTACTCAACATCCTGCCTTGCACACAGTAAGTACGCAAACAACTGGAGCCCTTTCGATTGCTGAATACTGCTCCCTGTTGCCTGAATTTGTCCAGTTTCCTCCCCAGCTGGATTTGAATCCCTGAGATCAAGGTCCCTGTCCTATCCATTTCTGCGACTATCTCTGACCCCACTCCCATCCCGGAAAAGAGCTCAGTTCAGAGTATTTTCTTATAAAGACACTAGCTGAATTGATTTAAAGCAACGATTTTCCTTCAAATGGTGCTTAAATCTTCATCGCAGTCCCATCACAACCAGCTTGAGAAAGTCAAGGTCCACAGGGTAAAGTAACCTCTTCTGACCCTATTATCCCATTAAAAATACGTGAGTAGGCTGGTCGTGGTGGATCACACCTGCAATCCCAGCACTTTGGGAGGCTGAGGCAGGCGAATCACGAGGTCAAGAGATCGAGACCATCCTGGCTAACACAATGAAACCTCATCTCTACTAAAAATACAAAAAAACAGCCAGGCGTGGTGGCGTGCGCCTGTAGTCCCAGCTACTTGGGAGGCTAAGACAGGAGAATTGCTTGAACCCGGGAGACAAGAGGTTGCAGTGAGCTTAGATCACGCCACTGCACTCCAGTCTGGGTGACAGAGTGAGACTCCATCTAAAAAAAAAAAAAAAAAAGTGAGTCATTCCTGAAGCACACGGCCAAGCCATTTACACTACTGAGCTACGCTACCATGTGAGATGTGCTACCTTAGTTAACAGCCTAAAAATGTTCCAGAGAGGTAGACTTGATGTAGAAACCTCTGTCACATTCTGGAAGACTCTTTTTCACCTAGGACATGAACTTTGATCTTACAGATGCAGACAGTATTAAAGAGAACACATATGTTTGAATGCAGAAAATCCTATAGAACATCCCTGGGACAGTGCGTCAGTACTTTGTTATAAAAGAGAGAGTTCTGTATTTTGGTACCAAATCCCCTTGGATGTCAAAAGCTTCCCATAAAATTCTACACCTTTCTGGACAGGCTTCAGCAATTTATAAAATAAACATGACTGAAATGCTTAAATCTATGTTTTGAAAAGGATAACTATAAAACTATAAACCGTAACACTGTCAATAAAAAATTCCTACTTTCAGGGGCTATCAGTAACTATTCCCAATTGCTCCAGAAATCATGCTTCTGTGACAATTTCTGTTATTTTTTTAACTCACCTGGAGATCACAAAATAAAAATATTATTTGGGAACCAACTAGGTCATGCCTTCAGAATGAGCAAAAGATTGGGAATAACACCCAGCACACTCCCAGGCTGTTCAATCTTTTGTCTCTTGATGTTGAAGGCCTTCTGGAGCAACCACTTTGAAAGTGTATCTATCCCAAGCCTGGTCTTTCACTGGAATTCTTGTATCTTGCTCAACTCGGACTAGGAAGAAGGAAAGCCACTACGTCTACCACCTTCGGGAGCTGCCAGCTCACTGAGTCCTGGGCACTAGCGTCTTGTTGCTCTTCAGTTTTCCCTCTCTTATCCTCATAATTCACTTCCTCCACAGCATAAAGCATTCACTTTACCATCTTCCTAACACACAGCAGGAAGCACGGGAAAGCCTGCATTGCTAGAGAAGAACTAAATCAAGGATACAGTGATCCATTTGCATCACGAACGTACATTTTCAACTAAAGGGCAAATTCTTTATTTCAAATGGCTATACAGAGTGGTCCTTTGATGATACGGAATTCCAAGTGACCAGCTGAGCATGGTGGCTCATGCCTGTAATCCCAGCACTTTGGGAGGCTGAGATGGGTGGATCACCTGAAGTGAGGAGTTGGAGACCAGCCTGGTCAACATGACGAAACTCCGTCTCTACTAAAAGTATAAAAATTTAACCAGGCATGGTGGCGGGCACCTGTAATCCCAGCTACTCGGGAGGCTGAGGCAGGAGAACCGCTTGAACCCAGGAGGCAGAGGTGGCAGTGAGGTGAGATCGTGCTATTGCACTCCAGCCCGGGCAACAAGAGCGAAACTCTGTCTCAAAAAAAAGAAAAACAAGAATTCTAACTGACCAACTTCAGGGGACTAGAAAGACTGAAATCCATGAATGTTCTCTTTTTGGGCCACAGCATTTCACTTGATTATTAACCTTTTGGTTCCTAGCTCTCCTAACAGTAAACAGGTACTGGGAGCAGCGCTGGCCCCAGTAATATTCTTTCCCTCGGCAGAAGAATCCATACGCCCTCCATGATCGCTCATGTAAGAAATGCTGACATTTCCCTCCTATTTTTCCTCTCAAGCCTATATGTTAATATTTGACTTCTTCCCCGCGCGTCCCGACCCACTCTTTCCACCCCTCAAAGCAAAACCAGAGAGATTCCGGCAAGACCTTCATCCTGAAGGAAGACCCACACTGGGTCTGAGCGGCAGTCCTGCTACCTGGAGTTCCCCTTGATGGGGTAATTGTGGCCTTGCCTGTAATCGCTCTCACTCTGACACCCTCTCATGTTCCGCTTCCTTGCTGTGCAATGCTGGGCCCTCACCCTGCTACCTGGGACTGCAGAGGTCCGAGACGGACAAGGTTGAAGCCAAACGCCACCATCTACTCTCCACTCTGACCTTATGGGTACTTCACTCTTAGAGGCAAAATCCTCAATGGTTTCGTTTTTGGCTGATGGTGTGCAAATGAAAAAATTACACATCCCAAGTCCTTCCTGCACAGCATTTGCACCAACACTGCACATGGAAAAGATGGCAATGTCTGTGGCTACCTACCCCGCCGTTGGGCGGCTACACTTGCAGGCAAGTCTTGGAGATGCTGCTTCAGCTCTGCTCACCCCTGAGGTGCGCTGGGAACAAGGAGGGTAGGAGGAAAGCATGCAGTGTCAAAGGAGCCCAAAGCCAGGAAAGTGAGGAGCTGTCCCGGCGATAACTAGCACTATCAAGAGCTGGTTAGGCAGACAATCACACTTTTGTTTTCCTTATGCTTTCTGACTGTAGATTTAATTTAATTTTGTCATGGCAGGATTAGCAACTGGGCCACAGAGGTGAAGGGACATTGTAATAAGACAGCACATTAATCCTCTATCCCACCCAAGGCAGAAGCAAAACCAAACAAATAGCAGCTTCCTGGAAATTGAATTTCTGTTATCCAGATGTCAAAGATGTAATACCCCAATTACACAAACTATTGCCAGTGAAGCATGCCAGCGAATATGCAATGTAAATGGGGTGAGCGCAGAGCCACAGAACTGCACAGTCAGCATCTGGCTCTGTGAGTGAGTGATAATTAGCACTGTGTGTAGACACTAATAAACATTTATGTCTGAAATTACAACTTTTAGCAATGTTAATAAGGGATAGATTGGCAATCTGTAAAATAAAAGGTCTTGAAAAGAATGTCATACATTAAGCAACGGCAGACATTTCCCGTTCCTCAACAATTTCCTTTTTTCCCCTAATTGCAAACGGCCACGATGTTTTGCTAAGAAATTAATTGACACGGGAACCTACCTAAAAAAATGGGTTGTGTCTCTTTGGCCTCCCCATTCACATCGTTGCTGAATTCTGGGATCTTATATACCTCATGGTGATAATCTGGCACGAGAAAACAACCAAAAATTAGCCTCCTAATGACCTCGAGACAGGAATAAGCAGTCAAGTCTAGACTCTCAGTCTATGTAGTATGTATAATCTATAATTTTTAAATAAACTTTTTGAGAAGTCAATTATTACAGAATTTGTAGTCAGTAATAGTTCCTAAAACTCTGCTCACTCTGGAGTACGCAAACTTGAAAACTTATTTTGACCAGAGAAAACGGTTTTGTTTGATCACATCATTTTCACGGTACATTTTGCCCACAGCTGCCAATTTTTAGGCTTCCTTTCTTTGAGGTGACAAATATGCTTATAGGGAAAAGAAGTATCTTGCTCAATCGTAGAGGAGGGGGGGTTTCCAAATTTCTTTTCACAACCCATTTTCACCAGTATGTAAACAGCATGCTTTAAGTTAGCCGGCAGTCCAGTTTTCTCAGTTTACCCAGCAAATCTCAGCCTTTAAGCAGCTTAAAGGCAAGCACACATGAAAAATACTGGCTTGTTATTTCAAATGGATAGCATAATTTGGATAAGAAAGCAAGATTTTCATCTTTCACACAAGTGACTCTCACATTCAAGCTACTGCACTTTATTTAATATGCAATACCTTATTTTCTAAAACCGCACCTGGGGAGAGAGAAGAATCAGACCCATCATAATTTACAAAAAAGAAAAAGAAAATAAATAAATAAAGAGAAAAGAAAAACTTGCTATGTCAGTCAAAGTTTGAAATACAATATTTTACGAGCTCCCCTATGGAGGCTACTGCACTTTGATTTCTATTTTTGAAAAGTAGGGTTACCTAGGCATAAAAATAGAGGTTCCTCCTTAATACCGACTCCCCTTCCTTTGGCCTTAGACCTCACAGGACAAGGTCAACAAAACTACTCTCACTTTTAAGATAAAGCAGTTAAGTTCTCTGAGGTCATCAAGAAGCAGCAGCCTATCTTCCTGAATGAATCAGACAGCACCAACAGGGCAGTCACCCAGAGAGAGACTTTTAAAAGTCCAAGTAACTGAGTAATCAACACGGATGTGGAAAAAAAAAAAATTTACTCAGAAAGTGGGAAGAGCCAAGTATTTTGAATGCGTGAAACTATTTCAGGCCTCTTTCTTTAAACAGTATCCGAACTAAATTAGGGGAGACAGATAAGAATAGATCTTCAAAATGCCTATAATCAAACCATTTTCGGACGAACCAAATCCACATCTTAGCTAGCTTAACTCAGTCTGAAAAATTGGATTACTTGCAATTGTCCAGAAATTTTCACTAATTTTCATCAGTTTACACGTGACTTCTGCAGGTTGTTGAAGAGTTTCTACTCTGATGCCATGCTAGAGAAAACGACAGAGGAAAAGTGGACAGGTTCTATGGTTTGGCTTTGACCTCAACTTGATTCAAAGACGACATTCAAACAGAGCGAGTCTAAACTCAATATAAGGACTCGTGATATTACAATGAAAAAAGTCATCTGCCCCTAATTAAAGATGACAATGCATTTTGAGATATATTTTCACGATGGCTCTTACCTTGAGTTAACATTTTTTAAAAAAGTGAAATCAGGAAGATGAAGCCACTTAACAAGTAACTGAACAGAAGACTGTATTCCACTTTCCCCTCCCTGACCAAATAAAAACCCAAGTGTGTGGTGTACACCTGTTAATTCATCAGGAACTAGCTGGACGTCTTTTCTTTTCTTTTTCTTTCTTTCTTTTTTTTTTTTTTAAAGGATACTTATCTGACTGATGTAGTCTAAAACACCTTTCCAACCCAAATCAGCTAGCTAGAGATGTTGGATGTCAACAATTACGCCTTGGGCTTGGACACGGCAGGAGCTTCTTTCTCCTTCTTAAAAAGAACAACGGTCATCCTTTTTCCTCCTTCTCTTGGCGAGGGGAAGGGGTCAGACCCCAGAAAACAAAAACAGCAAATCTCAGGTCCGAGGGTCCACGCTCGGCCTGATGGCCAGGCAGGTCCGCGGCCGCCCCGGCCCAGCCCGGGAGGCGCCCCGAGGAGGGCTCGGGCCCCCCGGTGTCATTGTTTGCTAATTTCCTGAGCTGCCCTCCGACTTGTTTACGTTAAATAACACCCCGGCTACCCCCGCACAACTTTCCCCGCCGCCCGGCGTGTGCGGCCGCGGCCCTGCCCGCCAACCCGGCGGAGGCACCGGGCGAGCGGGGAGGACCGGGGGGTTCCGGGAGGGCGCGCCCCCCCGGCGTGGACCCCCGCGGGCGGCCCAGGGCGCGGCGCCCGCTGCCTGCCCCCGCCGCCCGGGCGGCCGCTTACCTCGGCTCACCAGTTTGAAGCTCTGGGATTTCCTGCTTCTTTTCCTCTCGGAGAACTCCATGGTGCGGGGAAGGCGGCGGCGGCGGCGGCCGAGGAGGCGGCGGCGGCGGCGGCGCGGGCTCGTGTCACCGCCGCGGAGCCGCCGGGACCAAGGTCCGCGCCTGGAGTCGGCGGGGGGAGGCCGCGGGACGGGAGGAACCACCGCGAGCCCGCTCGGGGCTGCTGGCGCGGGGCCCGGCGGCGCGGGCTCCCGGGTGAAGTTGCCCCCGCGCGGCGCCGCCTCCAGTGCCCTAGGCGCCCCCGCGGCCCCCGCTCATGCCGGCCCGCGGGTTCCAGACGCCGCCCGCCGCAGCCCAACTTTCCGTTGGGAGCGGGCCGGGCGGGGGCGCGGCGGCGGCGGCGGCGGCGGCGGCGGCGGCGGCGGGGGGAGCGGCTCGGGGCGGCCGGCCCGCCTGGGCTCAGCCTGCGGACGCGGTGGCGGCGGCGGCCCCGGGGACGCGGCGGGCGGGCGGGCTGCGGGGAGGGCGGCGGCGGGTGCGGAGCGGGCCGGGGCGCTGACCGCCCCCGCGGGAGGAGGGGCGCCGGCGGAGGGGGCGGCGCCGCCGGGACCCCGGGGCCACCTGCTGGCGGAGCCCGGCCGCCGCCATCCCCGGGGGCCGCCGTCGCCGCCGCCGGCCTGGCCGCGCGGCGCCCCGAGGAGGCGCGGAGGCCGCGGCGCAGCGCCCCGGCCCGGGCCCGACCGGCCTGCCTGCCCCCGGGGACGCCGCCGCCCGGGCCTCCGCTCGCAGACCCCGCCGGCCGGCCTCCCTCCGCCGCCGCTGGGCCGAGCTCCTCCGAGCACCTCGCCGCGGGGGCGCGGACCGCCCGGCAGCCACCTCCCCGCCCTCGCATCCCGGGCGCCCCGGGGCCCGACGCGCTGATTTTAGGCAAGTTTTAGGGGGAAAAAACTTACCCATCTGCGCTCTCTATGCAAGGGAGGAGGTTTGAGAATATTGTGGAGAAGAGTACAGTGGAGAGAGCGTCCATATCCTAACCCAGGCTGGGCGGACTGTGGCAAGAGCCGAGTCACATTCAAGGAGAGCACTTGGAATGCGGGGCTTGGAGAGGGTGGAAGGGCGGAGGGGGCTTGGTGGCCCTGGGGACTCTCAGGAGGCCGTGGCCAAAGCTGGTGCAGGGCCCTCTGCCTCTCCAGGTCGTAAGTCGAAATCATGGACCCAAACACAAAGCTGTTACTCGTTTTGTGTAATATGCCTCTCGGGGAGCAGCGAGTGCACCCCGGGCACCATTTCTTCCTCACATCTTTCGCGTGGGCCCGGAAAAGAATTTGATACCACCTGGGAATGGCAGAACAGGAATGTGATGGGACATGCGTGAAAGTATCCGCCAAACCCAACCAGGAAGAGGGTAAAGAGTCTGGGCTGGGGGTGGGGGGCAACTCTACAGCACGGGACAAAGGCGGGGGGCCCCAAAAGAGAGAGGAAAAAGGGGAGATTGGCAAATGTGATAAGTGTCACCGTGGGTCCCACCCCAATGAGGCGGCCGCTGAAGAGCCGCTTTTATTTCAGGGCCACAGAGCAAGACGACTGCCGAGGAAGGGGGATGTTGAGGCAGCTTGCAGAAACACATATGGAGAAAACAGAACCAAAGAGCAGGTAACCAGCAAACCAGGCAGTGGAGGCAGGGATGGGCACCCATCCCGAGGCCTTGGGTCGTGCCCAAAGTGGCACACCAGGCAGGCTGGTTATACCTGGCATGGAGGGGAGAGGGAGAGCTGTTCGTTCCGTTCAATAAAGCAAATCCTCCAACAAACGTTCATAACCTTTTTGGTCACTGTTTCCTTTGAGATTATGTTAAAGCTCAAGAGCCCTTTTTCCCAGAAAATATGTATGGAACACATTACATTTGATGTAGATTCCTTGTAGTTCTTAGACATGCCTTTCTGCTCTCAGAAAGTTAGTGGTAACAGTAAGGCAACTACCCTATTTGGGTTTCTTCCTTCCCCACCATCCCTTTCTTTAAAACCAGACATCAAAACCTAAAGGTGTTTTTGATTGTGTGTGTGTGTGTGTGTGTGTGTGACAGAGTCTCATTCTGTCGCCCAGGCTGGAGTGCAGTGGCGCGATCTCAGCTCACCGCAACCTCCCCTCCCAGGTTCCAGCAATTCTCCTGCCGCAGCCTCCCGAGTAGCTGGAATTACAGGCACATACCACCGTCCCCAGCTAACGTTTTGTATTTTTAGCAGAGATGGGGTTTCACCATGTTGGCCAGGCTGGTCTCAAACTCCTGACCTCAAGTGATCCGCCCACCTCAACCTCCCAAAGTGCTGGGATTACACGAGTGAGCCACTATGCAAGCCTGTTTGGGATGTTTTTAAAGCAACAAAGCATACTATTTTGTTCCCCAGGCTGGGATCCATTCTTTCTTCATGTAATGCCTTTAAAAATGTTATTCTCAAAGCGGTGAGGCTAAGTTCTACACTAATTGAGGAACTTCCAGGATCGTTCATGCCTTGGAGCATATAATGAGATTTTATTATGCTTCAATTATGATGAACTCAGTGAAGGTGTCATCCCATGAAGTAAATCCCTGGAGAAGGTATTAACAACTTAGCATTTCCAGTTCAAGTGGGAATGCAAATTCCATTTACCGAAGGGAAAATTTTTGTTATAGTTAAGAATAAAATATTTGAGTAATAATATTTTTAAATAGTAATCATTTCTCCTTAACTCTTTTTAACCTGGCTTTCCAAAGATGGTCTGTAAGTGAGTTGGCCTGCAGAGGACACAAGCAAGGCCTGTCCTTTTAGTTAGAAGAGAAAATAAATGTCTGTTTACTCTCCACTGTGTATAAATCACTATGCTCTTATCTAACAAAAATGTATATATATCACATTTAGTATCAAGATTAATTATAATGTTTAACTAAAATGAGATTGCTTGGGGCCAGGTGTGGGGGCTCACACCTGTAATCCCAATACTTTGGGATGCAGAAGGATTGCTGAAGGTCAGGAATTCAAGACCACCCTGGATAACATCCTGAGACCTGGTCTCTACCAAAAAACAAACATAGAAAATAAAACAAAGTGAGATTGCTTTAAGTGGCAGGTATTCATATAGCAGCCACTCTTTATCCTTGGGGAATATGCTCCAAGACCTTCAGTGGGTGTCTGAGCCTGAGGTTAGTACCGAACCCCATGTATACGATGTTTTTTTTTGTGTGTTTTCTGATAACTAAACCAACTACCAAGTGACTAACGAGCAGATAGTTCAGACAACGTGGACCCACTGGGCTAAAGAATGATTCCCATCTGGGCCAGAAGGAGAGGGTTGGCTAAAGATTTCATCATGCCACTCAAAATGGGCCGCAATTTAAAACATATGAATTGTTTATTTCCGGAATTTTCCATTTAATATTATAGGTAACGTCAGGTAACTGAAATCATGGATAAAGGGGACTACTGTATTAGCCTGCTCAGGCTACCTTAACAAATACCACATACTGGGTGACTTATACAATAGAAATTTATTTTCTTACCATTCTGAAGGCTGGAAGTTGGAGATCTGTGGCTGGCAGGGTCAGTGTCTGGCAAGGGCTCTTTTCTTAGCTTGTATATGGCTACCCCTTACATGGGATAGGGAGACCATGATCTTTCTCTCCCTTTTTTTATAAGGCCACCAATCTTATCAAATCAACCCTTCACCTTTATAACCTCTTTTAACCTGAATTACCTTCTTTAAAGGCTCAGTCTTCCAGGTACAGTCACATTAGGGGTTAGGGCTTCAACATAAGAATTTGTAGGGGACACAAATCAGTCGGCAGCCATCTTGTTTTCATTCAAATATAGTGTCTGTATTGCGGGGGGGTGGGGAGGGAGGGTCCTGGAAAGGCTTCTAGGGGATCCACTAAGGTCATTTCTTTGCCTCATTCCTCAAAGCCTTCTAAAGTTCCAGAACCACAGGTTTATGTGTTACTGAAGATCAAAGATAATTGGTCAAATATTCAACGACATCACGCAAACCAAACATTTTATTATATGACCATGCTTAGACCCACTTGATTATAAAGATTGCATGTTGGTTTCAATCCTTGGCAAAGCCAGATAATTTGGCCAGAAAGCATTAAGTAACCTTAACCATAATACTTAAAAACTCTTCCTGAAAACTGTCCTGAGAGGAATAGTATTGTGAAAAGTTTCATCTTTATTTAGAGCTCTGCTGTTGAATAAAAATACAATGCAAGTTATATAGGTGATTTAAAATGTTCTATTAGCCACACTAAAAAAAAGTAAAAATAAACAGATGAAATTCTTTACTAATTTATCTTGTTTAACTAAATACATTAAAATATTCTCATTTTGACATGTAATCAATATGAGAATATTATTGAGATAGTTTATGTGCTTTTTGTTGTACAAAGTTTTGAAACTGGTATGCTTCTTACCCTTAGATTACAAATCAATTCAAACTAGCCAGATTTCAGATTCTCCATAGCCATATCTTGTTAGTGGTGACCACATTGGGCAGCTCAGATTTAGAAGGAATGTCTGATTTGAACCATGCTATGCACATAGATGTAGTCTGTTTACAACTTGATTATCGTTTAACTGTTTTATTAATAACTCTCAAAAAGAAGATGAGCAGAATGGGATTATTGGCCTTCAGGCTTTTTATAATCTTTGATGGGATTTTCTGGAATTGAATATGCTGTCATTAAATAGATTCTGGGAATCCTTCAGGAAGATTTAATAGCATAAATATCTACTTTGCAATGTTAGGACAATCACCCATCATGGAAAGAATAGACAGCCCTCCTTTTACACCTGTTTCCTGAGTGTGGCTGGCCTAATGCAGGGCTACACTCATTTACTTCATTGGTTTTGGTGATTGCAATTTAAGAGAAAGGAGGCAGTATTTATGAGATTACATAAGTGAAGATGAGAGTTGGAATTTTCCATGAATAATATTACCCTATATATTTATACGGGGCTTCTTTTTTAGCTCAAGCATATGTATACATTATCTAATACTCTTAATAGTGCTATGAGATTGGTATATATTAATATTCCAATTTTGCAATTGAGAAAAATCCATTCTTGAGATCATTTTTTAGTGAAGCCAGTATGGTCTGCTGTTTCCTGACTCTTCAATATGACGCATTAACTTTAATTTTTCTTACTTGTTTCTTTAAAATACTTTTTTCTGTTCTTTTTAAGATCTACCTGATATACAACAAAGAACACAATCCTTAAGTGGATACCTCAGTTAATTTGTTTTGCTTATATGTACATCCATGTATCCTCCACCCTGATGAAGATTCAGAATTTTTTTTTTTTTTTTTTTGAGATGGAGTCTTGTTCCATTGGCCAGGCTGGAGTGCAGTGGCACAGTCTTGGCTCACTGCAACCCCTGCCTCCCGGATTCAAGCACTTGTCCTGTCTCAGCCTCCTGGGTAGCTGGGATTACAGGTGCCTGTCACCATACCTGGCTAATTTTTGTATTTTTAGTAGAGACAAGAGTTTCACCTTGTTGGTCAGACT